ACAAAGGAGAGCTTCAGGGGAGCATTCTGCRAGGACTGCAGAAGGGAAGTGTAGGAGTGCTCATTGTACTCATCACAGGTGGATTTTAAAATATCAAATACCACCCCAAGACCCTGTCGTCCTGCACAAGACCCTAATGTTTTATATTTTTGCTTAGCCTGGAGATTTTCCCATCATGTTTCTTCTCTCACTCRTAGTTCCACGAGGAGAGCTGTGGAACTGCAATTTCCTCACCGATTAACAGTGTTTGTCAGGCACCTTCAACCTCAGAATCACAGAGCCAGAGCCTGAGCCTGGCAATAYCAGGCATTTCATGGGTTTGTCAGTTGTTGATACTGTTCACCCTTTCCCAGCTCCCCGAGGGCTTTATTCCCACTCTGGTCCCATTTCTGGTTTTGAGAATGACTCTTGGGACCCACCAGAGGTGCTGCTCCCCAGGGCCATGCAGTCCAGCCTGTTTGTAGCCACTGCTGCAGGAAACTGTGGAGAATGGATGTGGTGGTGGCTGAACTCCTGATACAACCTTCAGCACACATTCCTAAACCACTGGAAGCATGCAGGAMACTCAAACCAACACCCAGCTCAAACATTAAATAGTTCTGTTAAAATGCTGAGTGCAAACAGGAGCACAGATGTGCTCATGCACAAAGGAAGGTCACTCAGTTAATGAAGTCTCACACTTCCTTCTGGAACTCTGGAATGCTCTGAGGATGTTTCTAAGTTCAAGCACTGGCTGTAGCCTTTGAAGAGGAGATGTGGTTAAACAATTTACTCATACTTTTTCTTATCAGATTAGTTCACACCAGTTGCAGAAACTTTTCAGTTACCACAGGTGCTTCAAAGCATTGCTGGTACTAGCAGGTAAATACAAGGAAATAACAGAAATACTTGAGGTACTTGAAAARAGTCCAGGAAAAAAATGATTCTCAGAAATGAAAGCAAACACTTGGTGATAAAGCTAGCTGGCATCAGGGACAYTCTGTATGGTACGTGACAATAGCAGAGAAAATAACTGCTCATCCATCTACTGTGACACTGCTTGAGCCTGCCACCCTCASAGGGAACAGCTTCTATTATGAGTTTTCTTTATTAAATGTCTGCACCAGTTGATTTTTTCCAACTATGAGATGGCAAGCATGCTTCCAGCCAGGCTAAGTGGAGGTGGGCTTTTCAAAAGCTGCAACAGCYCAAAAGCACTCGGACTAATCACCTGAAACTTGGCACTGGCCAACATAATACCCTGCCTGGTGATCACAGCAGCCCTCAGCACTGCCAAGGGCTCTTTGYTGTGCACAGGATGCGAGGAAGGAGCCTCAGTGCTCACACAAGGAKCAGCACTGGCCAGAGTCAGGCTGCAAACTGACACTTATTAAAGTCTGGCCAAGCTCAGAATTGCAAATTAATCCCTGAAAGCGACTGTGACACTGAGCAGATGCTTTGAATCTGGCCACATTGCTCAACAGAGAAGGGAGCTATCAAAATTGTTAGGATTACACMAGCTGCGATCTTGAATCCCCAGCCATGACCCACACACCAGGTAGGCATGGACAATGACAATGTTCACTTCCAGCTAAAGCCGGATTTTTTTTGAACCCTGATTGTCATTAAAAAAATCACCAGACTAACATCTGCTGCTGATTTATTCCATTTTACTTCTTGCTGTAGTAGGCAGACCATAAACAAGCATCACCCAACTGTGGTGGAGAAGAAAGAAGCTCCTTGATGATGTTCCAGGARTGGCCCTGAAGCCAAGATCCCAGACAAGAAGCTGCAGGCACACCTACAGCAGCTGGGAATGTRCCAKAGCTGCTCACCACTGATAACACCAYTGCACCTCTGCAATCCCAGCTGCYTGGGAAAACTGTAGGCATTTCTGACATTCCTTTTGTGGGCTACCTCAGGGAGATGCTAGGACACTGGACAGGTTTAGTTTGGGATGGAAGGGACCCTTAGAGGTCCCTTCCAGTCTACCTATTAAGCCTTAATAATGTACAAAGCAGGAATGTTTGCTCCCAACCTGACAATGCATTTTTACCGGGCAGTCAAATGAAGAGCTGAGGAAATGCTGAAACTSCTTGAACAGAGATCATCCATGGGATACACAGATTTGTGTAGATGCTTCCCTCAGGGGCTGCACATCATTTTSCTGTGCTGGCAGTGATTTCTCACCTCTCTGCCACTGAGAGGTGCTGTGACAGAGCCCCTGACTGTGTTTGTCCAAGAGCAGGAACCAGGCAGGAGTAGTGCTCAAAAMCACATTCCTGCGGCCTGGCATGTGAGAGCACAATTAATGCAACTAMCAGACAAGGCGGGGATATTTCCCTGTCCTGCTCCCCACAGGACTGGGAGCTGCTCTTGTCCTTTCAGCCACAGGATCAGTATTGGAGATAGCACTGAACAGTTCCTGGATTCCCCTGTTCCACGGGATCAGCTGCCCACCACCCAAAGCCTCCAGCCCATTCCCCAGGAGCTGCAGAAGGGAAGCTCAGAGCTCAGGTCCTGCAGGGACTGACACCAACATTCAGCTGCAGCAGGCTCAAAGTGCATTTTCTTCCACCTAAGATTGGCAAGTAACCAGGAAATGTCCCATTTTGTCAGCTCCCACTGTCCCACCASAGCCAGCACCCCTSTGAACTCAGCTCTGCTGACAGAGGCTGTAGGGGATTATTGTCACCCCTGACCTCACCACGGGCAGGGAGTGAAAGCAACACCTCTAAAATCAAGGGACAATGCCAACCTCCTCTAACCGGGCACAGCCTTGGGCTGATCACATCCATCCCMCCCTCCTGTGATGTGGGGAGGAAATAAAGCCAAGAGGGTCTCCATGGATTAWCCGAGATCCCCTGTACTGACACTGGGAGCAGCAGCTGTCACCTGCTGAGCCAGGAACACCTCGGCACATTTGCTCTGGAGTTTTCACTGCTTCAGCATTTTTATCCAGCACTGCTTTGCTTTGAGCTCTCTCACCTGAGATCCTGCAGGAGCAAAGACCCCCCAGCCAAGGCTCCAAAGCCAAGCAGGACACACAGTGAGACTCAACAGCTGGATTCTGTTCTGTGCAAACAGCTCCCAGGTTTTTTCACTACAAAGACAGGTTACCTAGATTTTAGCTAAAGGCAATCTCCATAATCAATAAAATAACAAGRCCTGACAAGCACAAACACAAATACAGGGGAGTGTGAGGCAGCAAAGTGGCTGCTCCAGCCCTTGCACACTGAGGGGARGTGTTTTGAGAGTGGCACAAAGTCCCAGCAAAACGTTTCCATCTGTGGACTCTCCACCAGCTGGAGTTTGACTAAACCCAGTCTAAGCATGTGAGAGTTGAAGTAYCCAGCATTTAAGCTCCCCCAAATGAGCTTTCCAATACAGCTGCATGGCGTGCGTATTTTTTATTCCAATTTCCAATTTTCATAGATTTTTTCTTTTCCATTATGCAACTGCAACGCAGCCCACATCTATCTCTAGCTGCTCCCCATTTTACAGATGTCTCTGTAGCTTTTTAGATGTCAAAGCTCAACAACAATTAAGGGAATGAAACAGGAAGGAAAACATTTCCAAAAATAAGCAGAACAAGAGCCTGAATGAGCAGTGTCCTCCACTAATTCATTTTGATGGTAGGAAACATTTGGAAATTGTGGTATGTTGAATAGCAACACAGAACCAACATTTCCACCCGTTTCAATCCAAGGGGAAGAATGCCAAGGACCACAAAAAGGGGCAACTGGTAAAGGATATTCAAATACTTTTCCTCACTGAAACAGCCATAAAAGGCTCTTGCAGTAGCACTGCACAGTGGAAAACCCACATTCTGTAGCCACAACACTCTGAACTCGCCAGTGAACAGACTGGCCAAGTGGATATCCAAACCCATGTCACAAACCCTCTCCCGGCCTGCAGGCATCTGCTTGACACCTTTATTAATGCACTTGCTTTATGTGTGTCATTAATTGGGGCAGGGACAAACAAGGCATCTAAAACTGATACTGCCCTCGGTTCTCTTCTGAATCTACAGTACTCAGTTATGTGTGGTCACACTAAAAACAAAAACCAAAACCCTAAAACCTCAGCAAACTTGAGAAAGGTAATGCTGAGAAAAAAAGTGAGCTGTTCCTTMTTTCCAGTGCAGTTGTGCTGTTTTTTTGGGTTAATTACATAGCAAAAAAATGGCCAGGTCTTCATTTATTTTTTTTTTACTATTATTTTTTCCATTGCACACTGCTCCTGCATTAATTGCTCTATTACTCTTGGACACTTCCACCCAAACCTCTCCACATTCCCAGCAGCTGACAGCAGAGAGCCCTTCCCTGGGTTTGGCTGGCCTAACAAAACCTGAGGTGGGCAGAAAGAGCCTGTCAGCAGAATGGGTGCCACTGAAATACCCTGACAGCTCCCTTGGAAAAGCTTCACTCTGGACATTTGTACGTATTTAGAGCTGCCAAGGTGAGTTCATGTGGCACCACTTGAGTGCTCTGAACCCAATCTCACATGGCTGCATGCCTGAGCCCTTGCTCCACATGCAAAGTTCCATAAGCTCCTAAGTGCTTTGCAGGTAGAGAATACTCTCTGAAGCTGCTGTTTCACCATAGTGTAGCTTTATCTTTCAACTCCACAGTGTATTTTCCCAGTAAGTCTGAGAGCCACTGTGCAATTCCAGTCTCCCTTTTCCCTTCTCCCAAGTTTACAGTGTGCTGTAAATTCACTGTGTGCTGCAACTGAATGTGCTGTAAATTCACAGGAAACCAGGAATTCCTAATCTCTGCTGTTCCCAAAAAGAGGCTTGATGGTATGCATTATGCAACTCAGGTTTAAAGCAAAACAAAACAAAGCAAACAGTTCATTACTCACCTGTTGTTCTTCTGGCYAAGGTGTGAGACTCACCTGTGCAGAGGTGGGGCAGCAGCACAAACACCCAGCTGCAGGGTTGGAAGAAGCCACACAAATGCAATTTGGGATGAAAGGCAGCTCATGGCATTCCCATTTAAGCACAAAGCAATCATAAATCCAAATCACACAAGAAAAAAGTTTATTGAAAAATAAATTCTCCCTAGTTTTTTTCTACAACAGTGAAAACAAAGCATTTTTTTTCTATGCCATTAAAGTACAGACATTTACTGTTCTAAAAAAAAAAAAAGTTAAAAAAAATCCCATCCTATTGAACCCCAGGAACTTGGCAGTATCGGAACCACTGCATTCTGTTCTGTTTGAATCCAACTGCTTGAACGTAATATAGTGGAACACAACACTTGAAATAAAACAAAGGATCAACCTGAAAGGGGAGAATTCAAACCAAACACCCCACAGTACCAGCCTGACCCTGAAGTTCTTCTGTACATTTAAAACCCCTCATTGCCTCCACATTATTGTTTGCTAAAAGCAGTATTTTAGTTATTTCAGTAGGGTTTTTTTTCCAATTTACATTGCTACAGGGCTCATTCAGACTCTGACCCTCTTCACCCATGAAGAGGGAGACTCCTCCAGGGAATGATGCAGACCAGAACCCAAAGAGCTGCCCCAAATTGCACTCTGGGGAATCTCCCTGCAGTGGTCAGCCCAACAAGCTCAGCAGGATCAACGTCTCCAAGCCCAAATTAGCTTTGTAAATATTCCCTGATATTTTTCTTTTAGCTCTCAGAATCTTCAGGGTAAATTTTCTCATGAAATTCACTCTCTTTTTTTCCTTTAGCAGAAACCACCATTCCCTCCTCCTCTGCTGCATTCCTAGCAAAAACCAAATGAAACCCACGACTCCTCAAAAATATTTTTCACTCTCACTGTACTGCAACAGACCTGATAACGAACATAAATTAGTTCTGGGWATAACACTACTAAAATTAACTGCCCTCAGACAGCAGTTTAACTTGATTTATCATGTACCTATTTGATAGTTCAAACTACTTTGCAGCTGCTGGAGGCCGAGGCAGCGGTGTGACATGTACGTGTGCCCGGGTGGCTCCGGGAAATGTCACAGCRTTATTTACACACTCTCCTTCCAGCCCAGGACACAGGCTCTGCACTGACCCACGGCTGCTGTTTGCAGGGACAACACAGATGGGTTTTTCCTGCACCAGAAGAAGCCACGTGTTTTGGTGGCCATGGGGACAGCTCAATGCTTCAGTTCTGGGAGCCCCAACACGAGGTGACAAATTCTGCTCCTGTGCACACCCACCTGAGTAAATGACACCTGTGCTGATTTTCCTAGCACAGAGAAGTGATTTTTCAATCACTTGAGCATAACCAATTTTTTAAAGCAGTCTGTGTATTCAGGGTGAAGTTATTATTCATTTTATCAAAACCTCGAGGACCTGGTTTTATTTACCCATTTAATAATCAGGTGGCTTAGCGCTCTTGAGAGAGGTCTGCTGAATTGGAACACACTTTTGTGAGTTCCTAATTACATGAATATGCAAAGGATGACACCCATAAAAATGGATAGGTCCCAGCGTGCAAGGCACATCAGCAAGGGCTGCACTTTGTTTCCTTTCCTGGAAGAAAGAACAATGAAGGATGCCTGACATYGGAGGCACTCTGGGGTCCAGCCTCTGCAATTTTCAACACATTCCTACAGTAAACATTTTACACTTCATATGTGGGGTAACTGTTTACACATTCAATTTAAAGGTAGTATTTGGAAATTACAAACTAATACAGAAAAAAAATGAACAATCAACAGAACTGCTTGAAAATGTGTAGATGAGATTTAAGTCACTGCCCATAAAATGGTATATTTTGACRTCACATTTAAAGCAATATTATTAAAGCAGATCTTAATGAAATCCTCCAAGTCCCTGGCCTTTTCAGCCCCAATGAAAACCTACAGCTGTCAGTGCATTATTCTCCTTGACTTTACAGCAATCCCTACAACAATGGGACCAAAAGAGAACTACAGATGGAAAGGGAGCACAAGTCAGAAGTTGAAGGCATAGCAGCTGCAGGACAAACATCACAAGGAAACAACTATGCCAAATGTTAGCACCTCTGGAAAAAAGACTGTGGAATTAGAAATTGAAAACTCCCAGTCTCCCTAAAAATAAGCAAACAACAAGAACACCATCCCTCAGACTCCCAGCTGTTGACTGAACAGTAATTTAACCATGTTTTCAACTGATACTTTAATTAATAATAATTAATCAGTAACATCAGCTTAGTCAGAGCTGATCTATGTTGTGACTGCAGGAAAAACTGGCTGCTGATGTGTGTGCAATATGCCCTGCAAGTGTTCGGTCTTTATCATGTAAGATACAGTGCTTAACACTTATTAAAAAGGGAGGGATGTTTTTTAATTTTAAGAAACATTAATGGAGGAGTTGTGCTATCACAGAAGCCAGTGGGAGTCACGAAGTTAATTAGGCTTGGATGAGATTGTATCCAGCTTGATTCATCCCATTTAATTTATTTTTCTAGCAGAATCTGGTCCTGAAATGAACTATGAGCAAAAGACATACCTGAGAAAGCAATTTGGATTTTGTTTACGTGAACAGTGCAGCAAACTCATAAATGCCCTTTGCAATTCACATGGGCTACACATGCCTGAGAGGGGAGGGCATGTCTTTCATATCAAGGACAAATCAAGGATGCTGACTAGGATTTCAAAGGACAGTGGCACAACATGAAAACCTGATTTGGAGCTGATRATATCAAGAGAAATTTTCAACGAGTCAGAATCCTTGACAAGCAGCAGGGTGCAAAAGCTGACACAAGTGGCCTGGAGCAGAGTGGAGCTGGGAAGCTGCAGAGTCCTGGCTCTGGCCACAACCCCATCCCAACTGAAATCTGATCAGAAGCTGTTCTGCAAAATACTASCATTAAAAATAAAATAAATCTGCAAGAAGCTGAACCATCCCTCCCCACCAAGAGCTGACAGTTCAGCTGGTAGCATCAGGAACTGCCCCATGCAGAGACATCTTTATCTCAAACACCAACACCTCACAAACCTCAATGTGGATCTCCACCTTTCCTGCCCATCCAATCAGACRTGGCTGTTCCTGGAGGTTTTCTGTTATCATGGTCTCCCTGGGGAATGTTCATGGCTTTCCTTTGCTCCCTGGTCATTGAACAGACATCCCGTCCCAGCAGGAGCTCTCATGCCAAATCACAGATTCTCAGTAAATTGCATTCTGCTTGCAGAAGCAATGTTTTGCAAGAATTATTAAAAGTTATAGTATATTTTATCTTATTAAGCCTTATAGTTTTAGAACAAATTTCTCCACTACTTAAAAACATTCAAAATTCACACCACTAAGATGCAGARTCATCAGCACTATTTACCTGGAATTAGTGTTCCATTATACTTGTTCAGACAGTGTCCATTTTCCAAACACGCATCCAAACCCCAAAGAAAGTAAAAAAGGCACATGAACATTAAATATTTGTAGAAACATAATCTGATATAAACAAGCAAACACACTGCTGCAACTATAAATTACAAAAAGAAACATAGAAACTAAGCAAAAAATGCAAAAAGCAACTCTATTTATACATGTGCAAATCAACTTGCATATATGAAATAAATGAGGTTTTTATTGGCATTTTTAAACAGTGTGTATTTACCAACTTTACCTTTCAAAGGCAAGCCTTTTATGTTAATTTTAATAAATATGTAAATGTTTCTCTCAAGTTTTCTAATCCCGTAGGAACAAGATTTTTGAAAAAAACTAGGTCACATACAAAAATACAAAATTTTAAAACAAAGAATGTCTTGATATGAGAGATATGTTTAAAAGCCTGTAAAATGGTTTTGTATTCAACTTTTGACATTTTTTGCCCGTCAATCGCAGATCAATATATTCAAATGCAGTCATGCAAAAGCCTGACTTSTGAGCAAAGGAAGCTGCAAGCTCTACTGTCAGACTGAAAACAGCAGCATGGTCCCCTCTCTGATGTCCTTGCTGAAGTGCAAGGATTGGATCATACCTTTATTCTTTATTTATATATATAAACTATATATAGTTTATTTAGGAAATTGTTATGGAACTTGGACAGAAGGCTGCCTGCTGTCCTGAAATGTGGAGATCTATTAMAGGTTTTAGTAAATAATCCAAACTTTTCCCTAGTCCCCATGGATTTGCCTGAGTGTTTATCTGCAGAGGGATTCACTTATTTCTCACAAGGGAACGCGGCTGCGTGACGGGGAGCGTGTGAAGCTCAGTGAGCAGTGCTTACAGAGTCTRTGCACTTACAGTTCTCATGATAGTCTCCTTTGACAGGAATTTACACTGAAGCTGTAGGTCTTGATTCCTTTTTCTTCAAGATTAATGARTCTTCTCTCTAGGTTTCAGTGGAAATAAGATCAGAGACCACTGRCTCTGAAGCCAATTTGGATGTTCTGTCCCTGGCTGAAACGCAAGCGGCATCAGTGCTGCTGTTTCATTTTTGCCAGAATGCAGTAATTCAGTTCAGCAGACTAGAAACAGTGCTACAGCACGAAAAAACAGAGCTTATAACAAACTCTCCCTGCTGTGGTAAAGGCAAACTTAGCATTGAGCAAAGCACTAGACCAGAAAATCTTACAATAACAAATAGCAAACCCCTCCCATCTTTAGAGGCAAACTCAAATGCAGTAAGTATTGCCATGTGGGCCMTACAGCAGGGGGAACCAAGCAAACAGGTATTTACAGCAAGGAATGACACAAGAGCAGAACCCATGTGTTCTGCATCCTTTAAGTGCACAMGCACAAACCTTTGTTTCCAACAGAATTCTGTGATATCCCAGTCYGAAATAAATTCCTGCCTGAAGAAASTCAGGCTGAACTGGCCAGGCCAAGTCCTGCTGCTGGCTTTGCTTTCAGCACCAGCTGGAARTTCACACAATGTGATATGCAGGATTTTCTAGCTGCACCAATATGCACAGGTATGAGGGGATATTTTATATAAATACAGAATGAATTGTTGTGCCTACTCAAACCCATTTCCAACCGTCCTCCCCCAGCTTTTTCAGTTTGGTAAAACTAGAAGTAGTAAACTACATTTGTGCTGTCTGAAGCAAAKGCTGAGCTATGGCAACAGGAGGGATTTTCATACTGGTTTGCGTTTGTTTTCTTTTCATACAAAAAGTTGGCCTCCCATCACAGAACCCAGCTGTTCTGTTTCTGGAAAATTACACTAAAATACAACAGCTTTTCACATCATCAAACCCAGATCCTGGTGACCCTGCTGTTCAACTCCCACAGACCCTTTTTTGGATACTCAACAACCTCCCAGTATTAGGCTGTTACAGGCTAACACTGGAGTGGTGAGACTGGAARCCAAATGCTTGAAAAGGCTCATTCACTGCTTTGAAATGGAAAGTTAAAATCTAGACTGTTCTGGAGGATTTATCCACGGTGAATAGCATCTCCCTTGCCTGCTCTTTGGTAGGTCACTAGGTCCATCAATATTTCCACACAGATAATGGGCACTGCTTACAAGAAAAATCTGAGCCAATRAGATATGTCCAAGAAAGGAAAATGAAAAGCATCTGTGCCTTTCATTACTACCTGATAATCTGTATGAAAAAAAAAATTGTGCTGATTTTTTTTTTTCCAGCATGGTGTGAGCACTTTTAAACTGCAAACCTGCAGACTCTGACTGCAGATTTGTTTCTTACTAATCTTAACTTCCTGACTAGAAATGGTGCTGTCAAGCATGTCACCTTCTGCTGAAAATAACAAAAATTATCTCTATAAAAAGAAGGCGGTTTAGAAGAGTTAACTTGCTGCTCCAAAGAAACAAAAAGGTTTGATTTGAATTCTGAATTCTTGTATTGTTTCCTTCTACATTTGTAATTGGTGTGCCTGCCAAAAGAAAAAAAAAAAAGGAAGAAACAAACAGCCCCCTAAAAACCAGAAAAACAATCAAAGAAACCACAAGGATTGATTCATTATTTTCTTGGCAGTTCTTTGTCTCTTACTTGTTCTCCAGAAAAAAATTCTCTTAAAAAACCTAGCTAGTTATGAAGACATTTTACATTTCTACCATACAATAATTATAGTTAGCTTAATTTAACCTTTCTATGTCATTCAGCAACACTTTAACTACTGGAAGCCATAGCAAACTGAGGCTCTAACGATAATATTGCTCCAATGGTGCTGAATACTTTTTGCTTCACACAGTATTTCTAGTAGACAGACTACAACAGAAGCGTGGGCAATTTCCRAGGATTACCCTCTAAATGGGACCAGTAAACTGTGATGAGTCCATTCCAAAAATGGTTGGATGTTTTTGTAGCTTTTCCACACTGAAGAATGCCACAACCCCAGCGAGCTGTGCAGTCACCAAGATGTGTCACTGCCTGTTTGCTCATTTGTGACACTCWGCTTAGGCTGCTCTGGTGCAGCAGCTGTGATGCAGACAATACCTTGTTGTATACAAAGATTTAATTTAAAAAAAACAAACGGAAAAAAAAAAAACAACCCTGGGCCCAAACAACCCAATAACAGGGTACAGAGCTCTCTCATGATTCCAAGTTCTTGTGAAGTAAACCACTTTGTAGTCATTCAAGCCAAAGCTGTACCCAAACCAGTGCACCTTGAATAAAATGTTAGTCCTCCTTCCCCAGCATCCCCTCCCTAAGCACACTTTTTTCCATTTYCTACTGGAATGAAGCTAAGATCCTTTAGCTAACCATGACAGGGGATGACCTAACTCATTAAAAAAATAGAAAACACTTCACCCAAACAACAAAACCAGAAGATTGATGGGTCTGGAAATTTTCTACAAACTATTCTGTGCAGTCATCTTCAAATCACTGTCGAACATGAGACTCGTTTCTCTTCGCAAACGGGTGAAGGAATCTGAAGAGCGACACTGCAAGCGTCCTTACAGGAAGAAAAGATCAGTTACAGCTGTTTATTTATCCCTCCTCTCTTAGGGGATAACTGTGCCCAGCAAGGWTAGCTCTGCCTGCGGCGGAAAAGCCGGAGCAAAGTGCAGAAGGACTGAGGAGCTGTGTCCCAACTACTCACGCGCTGTCCCGCGGAGCAGCCCCCGCTGCTATAGGCAATCCTTGCAGAGAGCAACCTGCCCCTTGATGTAGTCCCTGCAGGGGCACACCCTTCTGTGGCTGGGGTGGGAGCCAGCACAGCTGAACAGCAGCAGGTCACCTTGGAAAACACAGTGCTTCCTCCGTGCATCGAAAGAGGGGACCAGAATGTCGTTGGCAGACTCCACGGACAGACATTCGATGTTGTGCCTGGAAAGCAAAGCACCAGATCGAGATCAGGCTGGAGTTTGGTACAGCTTTCATCCTTCCTTGCTAAAAATGAAAAAAAACCCAGCTCTCTGAGATCCTAAATCAAGTACATTCACAATTGCTGCTTTCCAGAACGTGACTTTTCTCCTGTACAGATTCTCTCTGCAGAGGGCAGTGCAGCCTTTAYGGCTTTACCGCTTCCTAAAGATTAATAAAAGAAGTTAAAGAGGAAAAAAATGCTTTAGGTTGTTCCCCRAAACATAATATTTAAATAGACCAGGGATTTTCAGTAGGATAAACTCAAAGAATCTGAAATCAGGAGATACTCTCTTTGATTTCAGGAGGTCCCTGCCCAGGGAAGCCCCACAGAKCTGGGCAGCTCAGGGTGGGTGATCTGGACTGTGGGGATGAGGGATGCTGGAACATCAGGCAGCAGGAAAATGAAAAATGCCAGTTGCCATTTCCTGACCACAAAGCCTAAGCACAAGGGTAGCAATTCCAGCAGARCCTTGTTTTTCACTTATTCTGGAAACACTGGTGACTTTCAGTGTTTAACAGAGGGTTTTTTTTCCACAAAATTACGATTTTGTCTAGACAGCTACAAAAGAAGTCTGACAAAGTTTTTATACGAGTTGCTTCTGAACTCCACTGGAAATTACARCTTTTCAAAGAAAATACAAACCCAAAAATCTTCTACAATGTAATTTAGCAAAAAGCGGGGATAGAAAACCTGGAAAGCAGATTCCCTTAGCAGCCATTTGTGGCATCCTGGCTTTGTTTTCATTCTGAAAGGAATGCATTCCAAAGAGACAGCACCTGAAAGCAACATTCCCCTCTTTAATGGCTGGTGAGTTTTATACATTTGCACCAGCACCTCCAGTGTACCAGGGGTCAGAGTTCTTTACCCAGGACAAGTGACAGGAGGTTTTTGRCCCCCTGCTCCTGGTATGGTGCTCTCTCCAATACCACACACTTCACCAAGCACTGCCAGTGCCCTCACTCAACCTGCAGCAGCCAAACAGTGCTCCACCCTCCCTTCTCACAGAACTTGGGCTTTAAATTCCAGGTGTTGTAAAAACCAGTGTGATAAAGAGACCAAATAACAAATTTGTGCTGTAAGTACTTACCTAAGCAGGGCTTTGTCCTTGTTGAGATGCTGGAAGAAGGAAGGCTCACAGATGAGCTGGCTTTCCTGACAAACTTGCTTACAGGATTTTCCAGGTTCAGCAATTTTTACTTGAAGGGCACTTAATGGGGGCCACATCACCTGCCCGTGACAGAAATCCTGCAGTGACAGACCAGGGTTTGTTGTGATGTGTTCAGACAACATTTCACAGTACTCAGACTGAATTTTAACATTTGGCACCTCTCATCAAAGGTGATCAAACCATTTGGGCCTGGTTCATCATGGTTTGCTTTCTTTGGACATAACCAAAATTTGTGTGAATTGATGCCTCACTGTGACCCAAAGCCCCCAAAGTTTGGGGTTCTCACTATCAGCTTGAGTTTTTTGTATTCCCTTTTAATTTCCTCTGCTGAAGGAGGAAATTTTCATACTTCCAGGTCTAACCACAAATTCATATTACACAGTCATGAATCCAGAATATTGTGAGTTGGATGGGATCCACAAGTTTCAAGGTGAGGCCAAAGGAGGTGTCCTCCTCCATCTGTCTTTTCTTGCTCTTGGGTGAATGGTCCCACTCCCTTTGCCAAGCTCTGGGGCTCAGCWGAACCTCTGCCGAGCCAAATCAGTTTTCCAACCTCCTAGAATCCTGCCCTAAACATTTTCTGCTGGCTTATCAAGCTCTCTGCTTGGCCACAACTTGCAAAGCCAGCGTTTCTGTTCCATCAGCTCAGCCTGCTCATCCAACAGCTCCCAGATTTGCACAGGGAATCTCAGCTGCTTTGGCTGCAGCTGCCTGGCTGCTCCTTTGATGGCAGTGCCAAAACTGAAGCAGTTCCTTCCTGTGGTTCCCAGCCTTGCAGAGCAGSCACAGAGCAAACAGGATCAGGGGATGGGTTCAGCAGATGGCAGGGGTGCCCCAAACAGCCACACTGGGCTGCTGGCAGGAGCAGGGCACTGGCAGGATGGAGCAGATTGGAGAAAAAGCTGGTTTATCTCAGCTGAAGAGGTAAAACCATAGCTCACAGCAGTTCTCTCACCTCAGAGCATGAGGACCTTCAGCTCAGGTGCTGCACTTGAAGGTTTGGGGAATTCACTAAAGCTTTCTTGTGAACATCATCCTCCCTCCTGACCCTAAACCAAGGCCCCAGAAGGGGAACTCTGGACACCTCCTTTAGATCCTGTGAACCACTGTCCATGGAGTGACTAGTGGGASAGTGTACCTGGCCCCATCCTCTTCACACTCAAACAGCCCCTGAAGACCCCACTGTCACCATCAATGCATCCCACAACCTCTGAACCAGAACAACTTMTTGTTCCAGCATCTTTATTCCTGCTTCAAGCTTGTGCTGCTTTCTCTGTTCTTCYTGCCTCCACCACAAACTCATCAAAATAAGGCCTCAGTCTTTATTTTTGCTCTTTATTTTTGGTTCATCTGCCATGTTAATCAGGCAAAGTGCTAAGCACATGCAGCTAAAAATTGTGTTGAGCATCCTGGGAGCTGTGAAACACCACCAGCTTTTGATAATTAGTCAAAACAATGAACAAAATTATATTAGTCTKTGGATTTCTGAGAAACACAAGGCAGGGCTCAGCCCTTGGGGGAGGGCCAGAGGGAAGAGACGGGTTTAAGCCACAGGTGCCACCTCTTGATTTTCTCTTTTTCTCCCTTACACTGAGCTCCACTTCTTCCTGATTGACAAAAATTCCCAATTATAGCTAACTTGGTTAGAAGAATCAAAAGCAGCAGCGATACTTTTACAGGTTTTGTCATCAATACAGCAGCARAAAGTGTTTATTGGCAGGAAAGCTACGCTGTGTTAACTGCCCCTCTGACCTGGAGCTGTGTTMTTCTTTAGGAATGTCTTTAACAGTACCCACTTTCAGAAATACAAGCACAGACACATGTCCAGTGCCCTTGAAAGAAATGCTGGCAATTAAATGACAATCACAGAGAAAGGTTATTCCTATCTCTCTTCTGCAGCAGCCAGAACAAAAGGCAGAGCTGGCTCCTGCAAGAGATCTGGCTTGGGCAGAAGTCCAAGCAAACACACAATTTCTAGAAACCAGGATTCCCTGTAAATCTCTGCAGYTTATTACTCCAACTCAACATCTTCTGCTGCTCTCAGCTGGCAGTAATGCACAGGCACCAAAAGTCCTTTAAGCAACTGGTTTCCAAACCATTTAAAGCTTTATCGATTGAAGCTAAATACTTGAAAAATCTGCCCAGAGGCTGCAGCCCGACAGCAATTCTACCAAAAAGTACCTCTGTATTTCAGTGACTCAAAGCTTTTTTTGTGTGTACACAGCTAAGGAAGTCACAAACACACTGAAAATTTGCCTTTTTGCTTTCATGCAACACCAAGGTCTGCACAGCTACTATTTCTACTCAGACAGCAGCAACACTGAGAAGTTTTAAAATGGAGAGGGTTCTTCTCCCTTTCCAACAAAATCCAAGAGACATCCATACCAAAAGTTCATACCTGTCTTTCAATGAAGGCGTTCATCCTCTGCAGCATTCCCTCACAGGTAAATTCATAGGGCAAATAAGGGTCAATCTGTGGAGACAGTGTGTTAAGGTTAGAGGKGTTTTTGTTTCAGCTTTGTGGTGTGCTCTGTGGCAGCAGCTTCTGCCCCAAATACTCCATTTTAGCTCAAGCAGCAACAAAAAAATACAAATAAACTCATTAACAAGTAATAACTTTACAAACACATCAGCAGTTTAAGCTGATTTTTGCTCCTTTTTAAAGGCAGCAAGAGTTGTTCCTTGAAAATCTTTATGGAACACTGCAAAGAGGCAGATGTAAGGCCAGCCTGACATCCTATGGGATTCCTGAGCTCCTGTTTTAACCAAGTTTCAATTCTGAAGTTGAAGTGACAAAACAGAATGTGATACCTTTGAAAAGTCCTTCAAACTTCCCTCCCCTTGAAGTGCCCTCATTACSATTCCACACTGTGAGTGCACGAGCACTTCAGTGGGAATGTCAAGGCTACACAAAATCAGAGCTGAGCAGTGGAGAGTCTGCAATGCTCTAAGAATCAACAACGAAAAACTTCCTCACTGAATGCACAGAAAACACAGATTGCTGTATAATTACACTGAAATTCTCATTTCTATACAAATTCACCCACTCATTTTTTTTCAAGTAAGAACATGACATATCCAGTACTAAAACATGCTGGTTTCAATACCATAGATATGTAATAAATTTTTTCTTCAATAGCCTACCYAAATGTAGCACTCATTCTCAAGTGCTGATAGGAAATTGAGGAGACATTTCTCACCTTTTGATTCAAAATGGATTTCACAGCCTTCTCAACCTCAGAAAGATCGCTGATGTCCACAGTCCACACATGGGGCTTCCCAATGTAAACTTCAGCATAAGGATGCTGAGATGTYAACTGAAAGAAGAAATTACATTGGTAAAAATTCCTATGTCAAGATATCCTTGTGTCTCACTCTCTTAGTCAGGTGTTTTGGGTGAAATGAATGAGGGTTGTGCAAGAATTCATTCAGAACACAACAGCCAGCACCATTCCTTCTGAATTAATGTAATTCCTTCTCTTTAAAGAGAATTGTGAATTTAGTTGGAAAACTGAAAATCAGATAACACAGGTCACAAGTAAGATATGTTCACCTCTAATTTGTGGCTTCAGTCCTCAGAGTGACCCACACCACAGGAGACTYGATATTTACTGAATTTACTTGCACCACAACCCTGCTTCCCCACAGCTCACCCAGAGCCACCTTCCTTCTTCACAACCTGACAGTGCCACAAGTCCTGGTTAGCCCTGCAGGACTGGCTCCCAGAGATGTCATCCTCACCCCCTCTCCTTCAAATCTCAATTATTTCCAGATTTCTGTGAGCAACACTGAAGAAGGAATAATTTCTCTCTCATGGGATGAATTCTGACTCTCACAGCTCAGAGTAACCTGACCTCACTAAGAGTGTTCACCAATATTTTGCTCACCACTTTGTCAGAAAACAATACCAATGAATAGCCAAGAAGGAACCTAAGAAAAGCTGTCTCAGAGTTGCTTTCAGAACTATCAGGACAACCCAGTAGGTATTTTTTGCGGCAGGTCACCCAGGAGTGACARGAACATGCAAATGAACACGCTGCAGAAGAGAGAAGYRTTTCACACTAGCCTCAGAAGACAGSTGCTTTTTCAATAAAYACCAAAAAAMCCCAGAGGACAGATTCTTTATAGGCAATGTTTATACAGCTGCCTCTTTATGCCATGTTYATGGTAAAAAGGCATTGCAGAAGATCTGAAGTAGGAAACGGTGTCTGTTGGGAAGAACCTTCTCYTGCACCAGGCATACACTGTACTGGATCTTCTCCTCAAGTGAATGCAAGAAACTGCTGCATTCTCTATTAAAATTATTAAACCCCATATTAAAAAAAAATAGAAATTAGCCATTGCATATTGCTCATGGAGAAATAGTAACTTGCAAATGTAACTTTGCCAAACTACTAAACACAGGCTTTATCTTCAAATTCTTGYATGGATAATCAAACTACACAAGTTCTTTTTRKTCTTTTTTAGCACTTGAAAAAYGGACAGAAGCATTTAAGGACTTTCYTAATCCTAAAGAACCAGCACATGGATTACTGRCAATCGGATCTAAATGCAGTTGTGAATACCAGGCAGAGAAAAGGCCACTCTCAGGATAGGTCAGCAGGGCATATTCCTGATGGATATACATTATGTACTTAGGACTAGAGGGATTATTTCAACAGGGATTATTTTTCTGTCCAAGTCAGGTGCACAGCATTTCTGTCAGTGCTGACACATGCCAGCAGGATTTACCRTGGCATTCCAAGCCCTGAAATTCCTGCTAAGTGCTTAGATGGGTTCAGGTTATTTACTGAGCCTGAGCACTTATGGTGCTGGGGCACAGAACAACTGGAAATGAGACAAAAATCAAGGGACTCAAGGAAGAAAAGTTTCAGAAGGTGCCAAGACCAAGGAGGAATTTTAAACATGTTTTTATTCCTTTATTGCTGCCTCCTTTGTTAGCAGCACAGACTGAGGGAAGGGCAAGCTGCAGCTTGTACAGGACATGAATAACAAGGAAGACAATTACAGTTGTGAATCACAAAATTACAAGGAATTTATACTCCTGATTTAAAACGGGAAACTGTCTTTTGCTTGTCATCCAGCTGRTGCTGCTCAGGACACAATTTATGTGGCCCAAGCATAACCTGAATTGGGAAGTGTGGCTGTGCAAGGTTCTCATCATCTRCCTGTTACCTGAGAGCTTTCCCTTCATGTGAATATCTACAGRATAAATGTATGTACACCTCTGAGCAAGACACGGCCACAGGCAAGAGTGCTAATGTCAGAAATGGCTCTGTGACTATTAAATGCTTACAAATACAKGCTGAATTGTACCTACATTGAAGAAAAAAAATATTCCAAAATCAGTGGAAGGGTGAGGGGTTTGTTTACTCAGCCTCAGTGCTCSCTCACCAGAGTCTAAACACACTGACTGTTCAGAAAGTTTGGAGTTTGGTTTTCCTGATTTCTTCAAGAGTCAGTTCTCAAAAGTTTTCAGCATTTAACCACAAACACGGTGGGTGACCACTAACACCTTAACTCAACAGTGCCTTGAACAGGTCTTTTCTGGAGAAAAAAACCAGCTCCAAAACACACAGAACCACCCACAAATGCCATTTTCATAATTTACTTAAACACCTATTTACTTCCTGCACAGTACACTGCAATGTCTGTTTCTTCAACAAAATAAAAACACTTTTAAATGATGCATCATGTATCAAAATGACACGATCTGTTCCTGGGCAGAACATCAAGTTTTCAAGTGAAACTTCAGTTTATGATCTCTCAATACGAAGTAGCAGAATGTACATATAAACAAATCTTGAGATAAAGCTTGAAGTGTGCTCACAAAACCATTTTGATTATCCTATAAACATAAGGACTGATACATTCCTACACTCTGTTATTAAAAAGAAACCCACAAGCATTTTCAACAAAAAAAAAATAATATTGATAAAGCTTACCTCTCGGAGTGTAGGTTTGCCTTTGAAAAAATCAGTGTTTTTGCTACTTTTTGGTGGGTTGAATCTTAAATTTAGGAAAGCACATCCATTTGCAATAGCCTCCAAGGGAGCYGGCCCTTCATATGGAAATCCAAGACCAACAAACAGCTGAAAAACAGAAAATGAGGGATATCTTATTTTTCATTATTCACAAAAGAGCTAAGAGCYAGCTCAAAATAAACAATAACCCATTCTAAATGTATCAGCACAAAGAAAATGCAGTGCTAAGGAGAAAATGGAAGAAATTCAACAGCTCACTGCCTCCCACCCAAGCTGTAATGGAATGTCCTGTTAAATACATTTGACAACCATCATCTGTACTGAGCTGAGGTGGTTTTTCATGGAGCTGAGGCAACAACAGACCCTTTCAGGGTTTTTGGGGGGGGTGAAAAAAAAAAAGTGGTTTGATTGGTGTTGAAGTGGAACTGCTGGGGCTTTCCTACAGGCMCAGGCTTTAAGGCAGCAATCTCCAGCAACAGCTGCACCAGTGTTTGCCCAGCTCCCAAACCATGCAAGCCTCTGCCTTTGCCAACCCCAACATGCTCCTGGCACACTAATTAAGCTCCTAATTAAAACGGTAGATGGCAGCAGACAGCAGCTCACAACACTGCACAGAGGCAGCAGAGCCTGCAGGGGCTCAGAGSGTTCAACACCTCCAAGGGAAACGGGAGCAAAAATCCATCCCAAAGCTTTTTCTACACCCGCTGAGACTGGAGGTGCTCTGAAAAAGGCACTGCTCTGCTCCAGTGAAAACACATTAAATGTTTCTTCAGAGCTGTCTGATAAAATCTTGACCCCTTTCCTGGCCACACCTAATGAACTCCCCTAARTTAAATCCAGGATTCTTCATTTGAATGAATGTCTGTGGACAGTGGGAGAACTGCAAGCTCTGAGCTGGAACAGCAATTTCTCAGCACTGCTGCATAACAATATTATATATATACATATATATATGTATATACATATATATATGTATATACATATAAATACAGATATATTCATATGTAACTACTGCTTTCTACAAGAAAATACAGCACAACCTTCATGACTATGAGCATCATGCATTCAGGACACAGATTCAAAGAGGTCAGAGTGCACTTTTCTGCATTAAATCTTCTGCAACACGGAAATGAATCCCAGAAACAGAACATTCACAGCTGGAGGCTCTTCCTAGGAGCTGATCCCAACATTGATGCATAAACCTGCAGTCAGCCCTGTCGTGCACAGCATCAATCCTCCCCAACCCATGGCAACAACAGGATAAATTCAGAGTTGGCTCATTTTAGAAAAGCAAGTTAACACTTCTCAGCATAGCTGAGGACATACAATTTTCACTGTGTGGAGCTGAATATTGCAATTTCAGTTTTCAATATGCAGGTTAAAGAAGTTGCCTACTTGCAAAAAGTTTCTCAGCTCTCTCACAGATTTAAATTTTACAGAAACTTTCCAGTGGTTGATAACAAAAAGATCCAAAGAACTGTTTCTACTAGAGGTAGATTATCAAAATTCTGGTTTTATATATGACATAAGATACACTACCTTTCAGTCAGAAAACGGTATTAAATATAATCTCAAGAAGCAGAATTAACAGGGAGATAATCTCTTGAAAATAAAGAATCAAGGACATGAAACCAWTTCATGCAGTCTGCCCATAAAATATTATTTATTTAAACTATTCCTTAGTTCAGGCAGMAAACCAGCTGAGAACCAGCAATTAAACCTATGTGAGATATCAATTCTCCTGTGATCCTGTGTTTGTCTGTTATGCAGGGAATGCTGGGTTGTTTGCTTAGTTTTGCACTTTTTTAAKAAACTGCTGCTGTGCACTGCTGAGTTCTGTGTCTGACTGGTCCATTTATTTAGGAGGAAGCTCCATGGGAAAAGAAACATGGGTTTCTGTTTTGACAGCACAGAGCACGCTGCCATCACTTAATCTATAATAAATAGCTCACCACCTGTTTCACATCCATTTTCCAACCTCACCTCCAAGCAGCACTGCTCCTTGGAAGGAAGAAAGAAGGATGATGTCTGATCCATGTGTGTGTTTGCTGAAACAAASCCCTGAAATCCTTCTTTCAGCCCTTCTATCACCCTCCAGCACATCATCATCAAACTAGCACAAATTTCCAAACCAAATCCRGATCTTCTCCAGAATATTGTCCTTCATAAAGTGTCCTTGCCCATRGCAGGGRGGKTGTTACYAGATRATCTTTRAAGTCCCTTTCAGCCCAAACCATTCTGTGAGTTTCTCTAAGATTAATGTTCCTCRGTTCAGCATTTCTGTCTGGTGTAAAGAGCAAAACTGAGAAATATCTTACATGCCTCAAGAAAGTCACATTCATTATGATTAAAAGAGCGAGCATCAGAGAACACAGGTCTTTTCTGTAGCTCACGATGCTCTCATTTGCTAATCCTTTGAAATACATGCAGCYTGTTATTTCCAGAAAGGCTAAAACAATTCGTCAAGGTCCTTGCTAAGAGTACACAGCAAATAGTGCAAGTCACTAATTGGAAAAGAACTGAAAAGAAAGAAAAAAGGTAGAAGTAACATTCAGGCATTTTCAGGTACCAGTGAAAAAAACATCCATCCTCAGTCCAGCTGAGGCTGTGGGGAAGACAAGACTCTCTCCCACAGAGTAAAGATTTAAACCAGACTGTTTCCCTTGATTTGTGATGTACCTGTACATTGCTGCCTCCAACACAAAAAGTGCTGATGTGGCTCTCAGGGCACTTTCTCATCAGAKGAATGTCTGGTAACCCATTCCACCATGGGGAGGCACCTGCACCCTAAGGCTGAAGGTCCACATTGAAAAACTCCAAATGTGACCATGTTGGTAACACCACAGTGGGTACAAATGAATAAAAATATTAGTCCTGACCTCACTCCGTTAGCTGCAGCAAAACTGCTATGCAGAGTAGAATTGCTTCATGCTTTACTGGTTGATTAGTGCTTGGAAAAAATTCATATTCTGTTTGTGAGCATTTTTCTCACCTTTCCAATGTTTCTGAAAGCAAGAGCCATTATTTTTCCTACAGAGCTTTAAGCAGGCACACGGCACAGCCGGCTCTGCACGCTGACACCCCACAGAATGTGGGCACTGCCAGAAGGAGGTTACACTGTAAAATTTATCTAAAAGAGATAATTGCCAATAAATACAGAAGTAGAGCGATCATGGAAACAGCACTCACTATGGGGTTGGGGTTTTTTAAATCCATTCCTTTTTAAGTAAGGTCTGCTACCCCATTGTGTCTGTGCTGTAGGTCTGCAGGGACCAGAGAAAGGGATTTGTGTCTGCAACATCACTGGCCCAAATTGAGTAAAGCAGGTGTGGAAATCCTTAATAGTTTGGTTTCCRTAAGAAAGGCTCCTCAGGAACCTTTTCTGCCTCTGTAACGGTGAACCCCTGGTTTGGAATTTCAGATTTTTGGTTGGCCACCCAGCAGCACACCAGCCAAGACTCTTCTCTGACTTAATGTAAACAGTCCTCTCACCATGAGGTAGGTAAATGGTCACATCTATGACACAGAAGGTGACTCACAAGCCCTTCAATGAAAACAGTGTGGTTTTGTTGTAATTTTTTTTTTTTTTTGGAAACCACTGACTTTCAGCTGATACTCTGCAATTTATCTGTGGAGTTTAGAGCACCACATCAGACTAGTATCAAAATAAGTAAGTAAACAGTCTTTCCAAATTAGAGCCAGAAGTGTAAAATAAGGAGTGAATGATTTACTTCACTGACTGTAATTATGGCTAGGTGAATATTTAAGAGAAAAATTTCACGTTCCAGAGACTAAAAATGCAYGCACAGGAGTGTTTATCTTCTTCTCTCCCCTTTCTAACATTACCACACTTCACTTAATTTGTTCTGTCAGGTTGGTAGGTTTATCACCACTTTTATTTGCCTCCTTACTAACTTATATATTCTYTTCTGAACTCCAGAAAGAGAAGCATAGCAAAGGTTAACTATCTTGCTATATTCTTCTCATCAATACAAAATACTTTCTGCAAAAGTCAATCCCTTTGTGATTGAAACAATTTGAGAATAGAATCACTAGTTACATGTAWTTTCAGCTGATTTTATGAAGTGTGTGGAAGTAAATACACATGCCTTCATAAAATGCAAAACAAAAAAGGAAGTTATTTTCCTGTGTCTAAGCAGGGTATCATTCTTACTTTTATTAATCCCCATTCAGAAATCGCAAATCCCACTCAGTAAAAGAGTTTGAACTCTCTCAAAAATAAAAGTTTCATCTGAAACTTTCTCGAAAGGAGAAATACTTCTCAAGAATTCAAGACTGGTTCTTCCAAGAGAGTCTGGTCCAAGTCCTCCAGCTGCCCACTTGGCCAGGAGCCATGKGAGTTGGCAGGAAGGCTGCCAGCTCGCCTACCCCATTCTCCTCCGACGTGATGAATGGCCTCACATCTTCTCATTAGGAACTGGAGACGTGGCTCGTTTTTGTCATGCTCTGGCCAGCTGAAGCAGCCATGATGAATCTCAAGCAGCCCCTCCTGCCTGCAGAGCTCACTCCTTCCAAAATGTGCTGCTTTATGGTGCACCCAGAGTAAAATGGCAGCTGCTGTGTCCTACCAGCTACTGCCAGCACCAAAGGCAATTTTGGGAATGCCAAGCCCTGATTAACAATCACAGGACTGGGCTGTCACCTATTGGTATTTTGCTGTCTAAGGACAAAATGAAGCAGTGCAGCATAAGCTGACACTTCTGACTAGGCTGAACCATGTGATTTGTTAAATTATTATTTAGCTCTCGCTTCCTGAAAAACAGAGCATTGTCAGCTGACCTATCAAAAACCTGCTAACAGAGTGCTGGAATCACAGCCAGTGACACACAATCCTCACCCTTGGTCTCAAAACATCCAAAGGTTTCTGGAAGTTTAAGGACAAAGGTTGCTGTCTCCCCACCATGCTCCAGACGAGCATTGTACCCACAGATGTTCCCAGCCTGGAGTTATGGCCCTGATCATTCCCACATTTGCAGCACACAGGCAGTCTGGTGACAAAACCCCGTAACTGAATTCAGCAGGGGACTCTGGTCATGTTGCCTAGTGGATAAAGGGATTATGAGTCAAAAGTGTCCTTGAACATCACTGCATGCATATGCACACACACACGGGGCTCCTCYGGGCACAGAGCTCCTATTCAAGCCAGCTCAATTTTTGTGAAAAACCTACAGTTATTTTAGCAATTCAACCCATGATCCATCTGATATAAACACAATTGACCCACATAGGCAGCAGATGGCCACCAGTGACAGGTGAGCAGTGTTTTGTACTGAGCTGTATTCAAGTATTGCCTCTTAAAGGGTATAAAAATTTGGAGCTGCGAATATTCAGGCAGCAAGAAGTCTTAGAGTGAGTGTGCCTGTTGATCAACACTGACAGGTAACCATATGCTGAGGCAGAACAGC